AACTTTAAGCTCTTCCAACACCTTAATTATTTAAAATAATCAAAAATTTACATGCATTTTTACAACCATTGTTGTAGTTGGAATTATAAATTTTTGTTTATTTTATTTTGATAATTTGCTAGAAAAAAAATTGATTGACATAACAATCAGTCTAGTCAAGGTTGCTCATTTATTCATTGTTCGATAATTTATCTATATTGATTTTTTTAATATTAAAAAACAAACAAACAGATGGAAATAATTACTCGGCTACGTCTCAGCTATCTCAAAACTCTCATTTATTTGGCCTTCAATTAAACGATACAAGCCTGTCGAAACAATATTTTTGTTTTATTTTGTTTCAGTCAAAACTTATGAAAATTGTTTCCAAAACAAAAAATAGTGTCAAAAACACAATGTTTTGTATTCTTTTTTAAATTTAGATATAAAAATTGTAAAACAACGTAAATATGAGCTTCTTATGAGCTCAATTTACCTACTGTTATATTCACGTTTCTGTCAAAAATTATCACAAGGTTTTATTATTATTATTATCATTCTATAACAGTATTCAACATTTTTTTCAGTGACCACTTACATTACACATTTTTATTTGCTAAGTGCTAGAATACCGTTTAATAATAATTGAACAATAAATATTAAACAATATTTTTAATTTCATCGTATTTCACTCTGATGTGACGTATATTTACTTTCCGTATAACTCACCAATTTAACCAGACCGTCCTAAATTAACAACCTGCTTAATTCATGTTGCAGTTATGGTGTCGAGTCCTTCACGTCGTACTCTTCACCTTTCTCATTTCAAATTATTCATGGATGTTGTGCGAAGGCATCTATCTCCACACCGTGCTGGTATCTGCTTTTATATCAGAAAGGCGTCTTCTGCGTTGTATGTTAGCATTAGGTTGGGGCATACCTCTCTTGACAACCTCCATTTATGCTCCTGTGAGGAGCGTCTTGGGAGAAAATGTAGACGAGCTGGGGAGGTAAGTGGCTTTATTCTCAAATGTGCAACTTTGTGTTAAAATATTGTCGTTATTGAAAAATTATGTTTGTCGTAAAGTCTAAAAGCGGCGACCAAGATAATAATTTTATACGCTCAGAATATTTATTGCGGTTTATAGGTTTGTGCATGAATTCGACTTTTAAACGAATGAAAATACAGTAAGTTATATTTGTCAAACTATAAGTAAACACAGTCCAAAGTAAAGAAATAACAACGATTGTCTTTATGAATTACGATTTAAAAAAAATTTTTTGAGATCCGACAGGATTTGCTTAATTACGACTAACAAGTAGGTAAGTGAATTGCAAGCTTAGTTTGGGTAAAAAATTATTATTATGCATCAACACCTTTTGTTATGTTATGGCACATTCTACTAATCTAATTTTTAAAATTAAATTTACGCATATACAGACTGAAAACTGGGTACTAAGTTTTATCAAAAAACATTGTGAAAGTAAAAAAAACAACTGCTGTGAATACAGTATGTCCCCGGATTGAGTTTACAAGAGGAAATTTTTTTATCATTGATTTTACTCCAAAAGTGCAAAAGAAAAACATTTTTTGGTTCATCTGAAACGAGCAAATCTGGACTTAAAACTTTATTATTCTGATTCAGTGAAAAGAATAGTTATTTATTGTAAGAGTGTGTTAGACAGCGGTTTATCCACGCAAGAATGTTAATTTTCTTAAGTAGATAAAACGCGACTAACACACGACTACAATATAACGTTTTATCCACAATCACAGGCCCAAATTATTCCAAACTTGATTAAAAATTACTCTGACATTTAAACGTCACGCCAAATGTGCTTTCGGTTAAACGTAGTAAGCTGTTACGCGATGCGCTGGTTACTTACTAAGGGTAATGTTGTTATTGTTCATTGTTTTTTCTTGTTTTACTAAAACAACGTGCAAAATCTTGCGAAAATGGAAGAATTTGAGTGTATTCCTGCAGAAATCTGCGAAGAAGCAACGTTGCAGTTATTGCCAGATAAGTAGAATTTCTGACAAGTGCTCCCGATGACCAATATTTCATGATTAAGGTAAACTTTGTTTTTTTTTGGCAATATTAGATACAAATTTTGAATTATTTTAGTTGCTTTAATACTGGGAGTCGCTGGTGCATGTAGAAGTTGTGAATTGACAAACTTGGAGATTGATAATGTAAAAGACACTGGCTCATATTTATTGGTTACAATACCTGACACAAGACAAATATTTCACGGAAGTTCACCATTATCAAAGAGGGATTTTCTGTTAATGCTGTAAGCCTCTGTAAAAACAACAATTAAGCGACACGGTGGGTGGCGGTCTTCACAAATAGCAGAAAGTTACATTGAAGACTTCATATCAAATAAACTCGATATAGCAAAGAAGATTCAAGAGGAGTCCTCTAGTTCTTCGGTGCCAAATGTTACATGTTCCAGAAATGAAGAACCAAAGCTACGTTTGAATGACAAAGAATTTAAATTATCTATAAATGTCAATATGAATGTTAATAATAATATTAAATGATTTGTGATAGTTATTGCACTATTTTTATAACAGTGGAATAAAGTCACTTTATTCCACTAGTGGATAAAATGGTACTTTATAGGCATCTAAAGTGTAGAATAAAGTCTCTTTATAGAGTGATTGTGGATGAAAGTATTTTTTTTTCTGATTTTGGACTTTTTCTTTCTCTGCTTTTTAATTCCTATGATATTGGCGGTTTTATTTATTTGCCAACTATATGTCATATGGACAATTAATTTATTAATTAACTAAGGATAGTTTTTGTTAAAAATGACTTTTTTTAAAGATGTTTCTTTGAATAGCTATGTATCAAAATTATGTTTTTCACAAACGTTTTTGTTATTTAACTTCCGAAAACTCATTTGTCAAAGTGACTTCATTGTCAAAAAAATAAAACCGCCAATGTGATGGGCTTTAGAAAGCAGAGAAAATCAAGAGAAAAATAATTTTTTCCTCTGAGTTAGAATAATAAAGTTTTAATTACAGATTTTCTGGTTTCAGGTTAAGCAAAAAATGTTTTTCCTTTGCAGTTTTGGCGTAAAATCAAAGATTTTTTTTTTCCTCTTGTAAACTCAATCCGGGGACATACTGTATATATACGAGGTCGCTAAAAAGTTTGGATACAGTTAAATATTATAAAAACTATTCTATTCATCAAAACTTATTGAAATTTGGTATACGCTTACAGGTGTTTAACTTACATTGCCTCATATGTTTCTCAAACTTCTATCGCCATTTGTTCTGGGGATACAAAGCGAACTTGATTTTTTTTTTAATATCAAGAAGGGTCAAATTTAATATTTTTAAGAGGAGTATTTTTTTTTGAGTTCTGTGATGTAACACAAGCATACCTTATTTAAAAAAAAAATAGAAGTAATTAAATTTTGAAAAATGTAATTTTTTAGCCTTGGAAATGTTTTTTATCTATCGTTAGCTCTTTGCCGCCAGAACTTTGACCAAAAAAATAGGTAAACTGTTTCCCAAATTTCAACGTGCTCTGCTAAATCGTTCTGAAAATATTTAGCTCTATCCATACTTTTTAGAGACCCTGTATTTTTACTTACACTTATTAATAGAGTTCGGATTTTAGGCAAATTGCATATTTATTATAGGTAGGATTTTTTTAAATTTAGAATGTGCACAAAATACATCAAAACAATTAGTCCGGTCAAATTAGTCATAAAAATAGTGGTCAAATAACGAAAATTCCGACAGAGCTAAATTTTGGTGGAGACCTTGGGTACACCATTAGAAATAAAGTTGAAGGAGTAACGTTCTACATCATATGCACATACAGAGTGCGCCAGAACTCGCACCCCAAAGACAAATGCCATGTAGGGTAAGGTACCAGGAACATAGAAAAAATTTAAAAAAATTCTATCTATAAAAATTTCAAAGTTATGAGAGTTTAAATTTTGCACTTTGACTCTATTTATTTCTGTTGGAAAAATAATTTTCCAAGTTTTTTTGCTACAGGCTATTAGAAGCGGAAACAAGGAAGCTGTATCGTAAACTGTAACTCTGTTTAATGTTATTTGTAGCTTTTATTGACAAAATTTTTGTAGCTTTACTAAATAATTATATAAAAACATATACAAGGTCATCAGTATTATTAAATAGACATAAAAAAATGTCAAACATCAAAAAATAAATGTCAAAAATTTTTGACAGATAGAATTTTTTAAACATTTTTTCAGTACCCCGGGGACTATCCAATTACTCCCTTTCAAGGAAGTGCGCGATTTTTTAAACACCCTGTATGTATTACCAAATAAATTCTTTTTAATTCTAATGGAATCGAGATATTTATAAGTTTAATGAAGTAGAAGAAAAATTTCAAGAAGATAAGATACCAGGAATATAAAAAAAATGTTTAAAAAATTCTATCTGTCAAAAAATTTTGACATTTGTTTTTTGACATTTGACATTTTTTTGTGTCTATTTAATAATACTGATGATTTTGTATATGTTTTTTTACAATTATTTAGTAAAGGTACAAAACTTTTGCCAATAAAAGCCACAAATAACATTAAACAGAGTTACAGTTTAGGATACAACTTCCTTGTTTCCGCTTCTAATAGCCTGTAGCAAAAAAACTTGGAAAATTATTTTTCCAACAGAAATAAATAGAGTCAAAGTGCAAAATTTAAACTCTCATAACTTCGAAATTTTTATAGATAATTTTTTTAAACATTTTTTTCATGTTTGTGGTACCTTACTCTACATGGCATTTGTCTTTGGGCGCGAGTTCTGGCGCACTCTGTATGTGCATATGATGTAGAACGTTACTCCTTCAACTTTTAGAATCGCGATATCTCAGGAATGGTGATTCTCAGAAAAAAAGTATAAAGACCTTTTTGCCTTTTTGTAGATAATTTTAAGATCTATAATTTTTGTCTGAGCTACTTTTTTGATAAAACTTACCGTTTTCGAAAAAAATCTAAAAAACGTCAAATTTTGACCTTTGACCCCGAATAACTTTTTTAGCACACATGGGATCGATGGGGACTTTTGACACTTTATTCCTAATGGTGTACCCAAGATCTCCACCAAAATGTAGCTCTGTCGGAATTTTAGTTATTTGAAATGTCTATATTGACCGGACTAAATGCAAATAGGCCAATTAGAAAATGCATATTTTGCATATTTATTTTTTTAAGCTAATTTAATGAAAAACTACATATTTTTTGCCTAATTTTCTCTTAAATGCGACATATACAGGGTTACTCATAAATATGAAGCAATGTTTGAATCTTAAAAATGACCTATAAAATGATGTTAACTTAAATAATATCTCGTGTTCTATCTCTGCTGATACGAACTTTACAGCTCTTAGAATGTGGATATAGAAATTTGTTTTTTTTTTTGTAATAAGTTCGGAACCATTTCATCAAATATTATAAAATTTGGAATAGTTACTTGCGCGAGGATACCTTTTAAATTGGTAATTACGAAAATCGGATACATCTTTTCAATTTCCGGTTCCAGCAGTTGCAAGTCGTATTTTCTCTGTTTTTCGTTTTTTTTTTGACGTCTTAACATTATTTTCTTATTGCTCAAATCATTAGAGTAATCAATTTTGAATAAAAAACGCATAATCTTTAATACCCCGAAAATGGATCGTTTTAAAGATATTTAAATTTAAAAGCACAACCCTGAATGAATTTTGATTGAGTGATATATACGGCAACGAATGACCACGGTCACATACCTTGCTGTCAGGCATATGTCGTCAGCTTGACATTAGACGATTATTGGAAGATTTATCAAAAACATTTAATTAGAGTTCATCTCAGACTCCAAACGTAACTTAGAATAAATCCGAATGGATCTCCTAGCATTTAATTCATAAAAAAATTACAATAATTTATCGTCAAAGTTAATAGATACCTGGCAGCGATTTATGTGACCATAGTTTTCAGCGTTGTGCAGCCCTCACTTTAAATTAAACAATCTTTAAAACGA